GGCAGGTCGAGGCTGCGGTGGCCGGGAGCGGTCACTGCACTCCAGTCTGGGTGACAGAGTAAGACTCCAACTCAAAAAAAAAAAAAAATTGTGCTGCTTGAATTTGCCAGAGTCAATTTTGAAAACTAAATGTTAAAATCTTTAAAAGGCATACACACATACCCTTGAATGACTGCAGTCGCCTCCCAGATAAAGTCCAAACTCTCCTTAGCCTGAGAAAGTAAGCCTTTAAGTAGACTCCTCCCCACCCACTCCAGCCAAGCTGCATTCTCAGGACCTAGAGTGTGGCTCTGTCTGTGGAAACCTCCTCCCTTTGGAGCCCACATAGATGACATCTGCTACCAGGCTTCCTCAGCACTACTGACATTTTGATCTGGATTCTTTCTTGTGGGGCAGGAGGGAGGTTGTCCTGTGTCGTTGTATTTTTGTTTTGTTTTTTTGCATCAGGGTCTCACTCTGTCACCCAGGCTGGAGCGCAGTGGCACGATCACGGCTTACCACAGCCTCGACCTCCTGGGCTCAGGTGATCCTCCTGTCTCAGCCTCTGAATGGCTGAGACTACAAGTGTGCACCACCACACCTAGCTAATTGTTTAATTTTTTGTAGAGATGAGGGGTCTCACCATGTTGCCCAGGCTGGTCTAAAATTCCTGGCTTTCAGCAGTCCTCCCACCCTGGCCTCCCAAAGGGCTGGGATTATGGGCATGAACCACTGCATCCAGCCAGCTCTTACTATTAATAAATGCCCCTGAAGGCCAGGTGAGGTGGCTCATGCCTATAATCCTAGCACTTTGGGAGGCCAAGGTGAGAGGACTGCGTGAGCCCATGTGTTCCAGACCAGCCTGGGCAACTGGATGAGACCTTATCTCTACAATAAATTAAAAAATTAGCTGAGTATGGTGGTGCACTCCTGTAGTCCCAACTACTTGGAAGGCTGAAGTGGAAAAATCACCTGAAACCAGCAGGTTGAGGCTGCAGTGTCTGTAAGTGTGCCACTGCACTCCAGCCTGGGTGACAGAGTGAAACTCCCACTCAAAATAAAATAAATGTCCCAAAGTGTAGCCAGTGTTACCAAGAAGAGTCTGTCCGGGATATGGTGGAAGCTACCCGAAATACCTAAAGTTTTTCCTATTCTCCAATGTTCAAGTTTGCAGGAAGGATCATCAGTAAAAGCTTCAGAGAGGAGGTGACACCTGATGCCAATTTCAACAGGTGAAGAGGCATGCCCCAGCCAGACAGTGCCTGGCTCGTAGTATGGGTTTATGAAACATACCAGTGACATGCAGGTCACACGAAACTAGATTGGAGAAACAGAAGTCACTGAGTCTACTGTCATGGCCTTTCTCCCAATTGCAAGGTCTTTTTTTTTTTCTTTTTTTTGAGTCAGAGTCTCACTCTGTCATCCAGACTGGAGTGCAGTGGTATGCTCATGGCCACCACAGCCTCAACCTGCTGGGCTCAGGCCTCTGCCTCAGCCTTCCAAGTGGCTGGAACTACAGGCACACACCACCACCCCCAGCTAATTTTTTGATTTACTGTAGAGACGAAGTCCCACCATGTTGCCCAGGCTGGCCTCGAACCTGTAGGCTCAGGCAATTCTCTCGCCTCTGCCTCCCAAAGAGCTGGGATTATAGGCATGAGCCACCACGCCCGGCAAATCACAAGCTTTCAAAACCTCTCCCCACAAACAATCACCCAGACATACACACACTCACCCATCCTGAGGTCTCCCACTCAGTGGTTTGAACAACCTTTAATAGAGACTCTCCTGTTTCTGACTGTCATTCTCTCCAGAGGCATCCAGAGCAGGGGAACCCAGTGCAGTGTGTGGACTTATCCCTCCGCCCCCAGCAAGTAGGGGACTGAGCTGTGCATAGGTGCCTTTTGTGAATAACTCTCAGGAGGAAGTTTTTTGAGTCACTGTCTCCAGGAGACATTGGTTTGCTCTCGTGACAAGAGGCATGGAGGAAGGGGCTTCAGCAGTCCCAGGCTCAGGGTGGGAACTTGGCTCTGATCCGGATCTCTTCACCCCGAGTCGCAAAGCAGAAATTCCTGAGGCTGCAGCTCTGCCTGGGAGGAGCTCTGGAGATGGGCTTCTCGCCCCTAGTCTCTCTGGGCAACTCCGGGAAGTCTCCATCTGCTCACATCTCGCCCCATGGAAGAAGTGGAAGAAGAGGAACTTGGATTTTAAAAAGTTGGGCTGGGGAGGGCGAGTCACTACAAAGCAGGAATAATGAACAGCGTCTCCAAGATCTGGGCCCTGGGTCCCATGGAAGGCCCCAGAGGTATGCTCACCTCCAGCCTGTGTGCGTCTCTCTGAATCTCTCCGATTGGCAGCTCCAAGAGCAATGGGAAGTTGAGAGCCTGGAGGCTGGACTGGGTTCCCTGGGACCCCGAGGCTCCAGAGACTGCTGGGCAGTGGTTTTTGGCAAAGAAGCAAGGTCCGAGCGGGATGGCTTGGTCAATTAGGGATCAACAAAGGAGACTGCGATGTAGCGAGTGCCCCTGGTGGTGGGGAGCCCTTCGTGGTAGTGCGTGAGTCGCCCGGGGTGCATGAGGGCCCAGCCCTTCCTTGGGGCTCGGATGGAGCAGTTGTAGCGCAGGAACCGACAGCCGCCGCCCTGAGAGACAGGAAGCATCAGTTACCTTTCCCC